CCCCCCTCAATGTATTGTTGTTCCGCTCGTCGAGAGCCTCGTTCCTCCTAACGTTTCACTCCCTGCGTCCGACTGTGTTGAACCAAAATCATTGATGTGGAAGGCGCGACATCTGGTGAGCTACCAGGTTCCCAAGAAGGTCATCGACGTCTACGGCTTCGACGTGGACCTGGTCCTTCAGCAGCAGCTTAGCCTCACAGGCACGCATCGTTTCGGAATGAAGCGTGATGTTCATTCACGGGGTGGCCTTGTGCATTGCACCGACGTGTGCTCCTTTTTGGCCCAGACAACTCTCAGGTTGCGTTGGTAACTGTGGGCTTTTTCTAGGTCACGGATAGACCAGCAGAAATTTTCAACGCACGCATCCCCGCCGAATAGTCGCACAATGCGCTCTGTCCTCATGGTGTTGCGTCTTTTCTTGGGACTTGCTTCGCGACATCTTCGGGGTTTGGGATAATTCACTATTTTTACGATTGGCCCGGCCCACAAGCCAGGTCCATCGCAAGGAATCCAGTTTTTTCAGCGAAGAGGAACAAAATGCGACGGTTGGCACCAAAAACTCTTTGTCTCGCCGCCCAACCATGTGTTCGCTGAACGAACGGCGTTGAGTGATTACCCGTCCGTTTCATCGTGTCTTGTTGCGCTTGGGTTCACCGCCGCAGGGTCCGGGGAGGGTCACACGATGTACCTCTTCAGGCGAAAGAACGTCGAGCCCGGCCTCACGATCGAGCGCATCGACGAGGTAACACCAGCATCTGATTTCTCCCCCAGTGGGGCTTGTGAACTTCATGTGCGAAATCACTCTGCCCCTTCTCGCGCTTGCCTCTTCATCCTTGTTACTACAGCGATGTTGGTTTTGCATGTGTTATCGTGCCCCAACTCTTCCTGTCTTGAAGGCGGGTAGAGGTGAACAGCTTGGCATCCTGGACGTTGCTCATTTTTTGGAATTTCTTGCCCCATCCTGTGAGCGTTTTTTTTTTTTTTCTCCATCCCGTTGAATCGCAGTCGTCCACATATTGGGCCATCCGGTTGAAGCGCGATCGACGCCAAGCCAAAGATCCATATACGCCTGCTTTCTCCCCAAGAACGTTGATTGATTATTGGAGTGGTGGTCGTCGGGGGTCGGCGTGGCGTGGCGTTGCAGGTGGATCCGTTCTTCGCCGAGGGCGTGAAGCTGTGCAGGAATCGGGGAGAGGACGGCGGCTCCGAGCTTGCCGCGCACGTCGAGCGCGCCTTCGAAAGGAACACGTCTGGAGGAGTGTGAGTGGCTGGCCTAAAGAAAGCACGCGATGTATGTATACTGCTCGCTGCAGCTAGCTATCAATGCAGAATAAAAATCTGATTGCCTGTTTTCACACGAGATCTATGCAGACGTGAGAACTGTTTCCCTGTTTTACGCGTGAGAGACGCACACTGAAGTGGCTTTCGAACGAACTCATTCATGCAAGCAGCTCGTGGGGTGGGTTTGTGGGCAACCGCGGGCGGGACCACATTTTTTTTCGACCACGATGTCGTGATTCTGGGGGTACCCGACCCCGTCTTTTTTTGTTCCGCGAGGCTCCCCAGCTAATGGATCGTCATACCGATGATGCGCTTTGGCGCTACGGTAGGTTGTGATTGTCATCATCATCCCAAACAGCATTCGTTGTCTGCAGTTGGCTTGTTTGTTGCCCCTCCAACAACGCTTGCATTTTTCGCGTTCACCTTGTACTGCACATAGCGCTATGGAGGCACGCTGACTCCTGTGGTGATTGTCAATGAATTGGTAGTACTGTTAGAGTCGGAGAGTTGGAACCGGTCGGAGAGATGGCACTGGGGTGCGATGATAAAAATCGAGAAAGAAACAATAAACTCGATTTACGTACCAGGGTCGGAGAGATCGCACCCGGTGCGATCTCTCCGACCCCCAAGTCGAAGATTGAACTCCTTTTCAGCTGCCGGAGTGAGGTACAGGTGCGTACCTTTTACACTTGGGGACGGAGTCAGCGGAGTGCCACTCCTTTACGTACGATTGGGTGGCCGCGGTTCACGCGGGATGCCAGTTGTTTTAATATTTAAATTGGTATGGAAGTTGCCAACCGCACACTCAACCAAACACACAACGTACAAGCCGCACCCTTCCCCACCTTACACAACCCGAAACTATTGTACCTCTGCGTACGTACTGGTATCCGTAGAAGAAGGCCGAAACGAAAAGCGGGAAACAATTGGTACCGTACCGTGTGTACTGGTACCACCTCAGATGGAAACGACATCGTTTGTTTGTCGTCACGCCAAAGCCAAACTCGCATCAGACACATGACCACTCGCTGCACGGGATAGTTGTTACGTGCCAGCCTACGCTGCCGTTACCGGTGTGATTCCAACCAACAGCAACGGCCTTTTTTCCGGCTCAGATATGCGTGTGTGTGCAGAAGACCGTGTGCATGCGTGGGTACCTACACTGGTAGCAATCAATACTATATGGCAATGGTCGGGGAGATGGCACCGGGGTGCGTGCATACAAGAGCTGTGTGCATTTCATCGGGGATCGCACCGGTCGGAGAGATCGCACCGGAGTGCCTTGAAAATTTTAAACGAAATGATTTAATTGCATTTCCACACCGGGGTCGGAGAGATGGCACCGGGGCGCGATAAAAAAAAACGAGGAAAAAGTATTTAAAATGATCGCACCCGGTGCCAACTCTCCGACTCTTACGGTATCCTCACGAGGGCCTATACATTCCCATAGCGCACCAAATCGTCCTATATTTTTTGTGTCGGTTGTTGCTGACTTCACGGTTAAGAAACTCTGTATGTCTGATCCAGTTCGCTACAAATCTACTACAAATACTTCGATGTTTCTCGTTTTTTTATCCATGTTTGTCGTGTTTACCTTCTCTTGTCTCACTCGTTCGTTCACTCCGCCCTGTTCTCAACTTTTGTTTCTCCGTTTCTCCGCTCCTCTCGTGCGTGCGTATTTGTTTGGCTTTTCTCGCAGACGAACGCGCAGGTCGCGACGAGCGAACGCGTGAAATCTCCCCGCCCGCCTCCTCGTCTCGCAGGAATGGGTGTGCCTCACCTGTCCATTTTTTAGCAATCATGTCTTTCGGGCGGCCTGACGTTCCCATTTACGGTACGGGGCCACGGGGACGAAATTCAGTATAGTGGGGCCTCAGGCCGACATGTGCCGCCTGACGAAATGATCGGCGGTATTCAAAGGACAGGACGCCGGCGCTATGCAGGGCCGCTGGCGCCACGCAAACGGCGTTCTTGAGGGCCCACCACCTTACTTTAGTCAGCCCAAGGCTGACAAAGGAGGTGGTTTCATCGAAGACTGAGCGAGAGAGAATGAGAGATTTCCCAGAGCATGACCGGACGGCGACGGCTGGTTGTATCGGCTCCCGCACCTCGTCGAGACGACCATCTTGTCCGGAAGCGACTGAGCAAGGTCGGAAGGAGACCGCAAGGAAATGTTTCCGAGCTTGTAAAGTATTTTCTGAAGGGTGTGGTCTCGGCAAGACACTTCGTAGGACTTCCACGCTGCGCACGCAAACATAGGGCGTCGTATTTATTGGCGTCTGGGTGTCTGTCCCTCGACGGTGCGTTTACTAGTTGCCGGAGAGAGAGAGAGAGAGAAAGGGATCCGTAAGCAAGAAGGATAATTGAGACGGCCGGGGGGATAGCTAGAGCACGTTTTTATCCGCGTTCTCTTGCCCGCTCGCACGGATGGTGGTCGGGGTCTGCTATCGCACGTAACGTCGAGAGAGTTTGTTGTAACGAAGCGGGGGCGGCGCTGTTATCGGGACAAGGATTCTTCGCAGGACTGTCGCAGGCAGGGGGGCATGCGGTGTTCTCAGAACGATCCGAAAGGGGGTCCTTGGTCGTGTGCTGCAGGTAGGTAGGCAGGTAGGTCCGTCTGTCCTGTCATTCCTGAAGATAATCATCGGTTGCTGCCACTGAGGTTCGCTGGCGTCTCCAGGACGGCTGGAAACATTTTTGGATTGAATCCGGAGGTATTTTCGTAAACCGGGGGGAGGGCTTGGATCGGGTACGGGGGGGGGGCTGATGCTGGTGCACTTTACCCACGACGCGATAGGCTCGCGTGGTGTTGGAATAGATGAGTAGAACCAGCCTGAAAACAAGCATGTACTATTCTGTAGCAACGCATATACATACCACACGCACCTCGTTACGCATTGAAAGACCTGCTATTTAAGAATTTGCCTTTTATTTCGAAGTACGAGGTCGTTGTGTGCTATTAGATCAGTATTTCCAGCGTATGGGTGGGTGGGTGTTCCTCGTTTCGCGACGGGAGGGCTAGGGAGGCAGCGGGGGCCGGGCAACGGCATGGATGGATAGTGGCAAGAGCCCTCAGCTAAATCAGCTGCCCTTGGGTGTTCGGTGCTTGCGGTGTGTTGCTGCTCTGGATAGCCTCGTATTTTCTTGTGTTTATAGGCATCATGTGTCCAGAGGGCCAGAGGCAGTAGACACATAGGCGACCTGTTCGGTGGTTTCGTCGGTGTTGTGCGGCGGGCTTTGTTGGGCGTCCGCTTAGTATTTTCGGGCATCTGCTCGGTGTGTAGACGGAATAGCTACGGTATTTTTACTCGGGGAGTTGGTCGTATTTATTTGACAAATGTGGTGGACGGAAGAGAGCGATGGAACGGCGCGAGTTTCCTTTAGCCATTCGGCGACGCTCAATCAGTATGTTGGCAGCACCGCCTGTTTTGCCGAGGGTTGTAGCGAGTCGCTATCCAAACAGGTCGGTATTTGTCCCATTGGTATTTGTCGGTAACGGTAACAGCAGCAACGGGGACAGCAAGAGCAACACTGGCGTAAAAGGGGACGGGAGGGAAGAGATAACAAACAAACGGGGCATGGAAGCTAGTCGACGCAGACGAAGCAGCTGCTTGGCAAAATGCAAAAGGAACATGGATGGGCAAATGAAGGACGGCGTGCAAATGATCTGTAAGTTTCATCGTCGTTTATGGAACTCTCACCTTGAATGACCGCGCACAAGCGGGGGTGGTTCTCGGCGTGCATTAGAGTTAACGCACCAATATGTCACGCAATAGGCAGCACGTTTTTCATTGTACTCGAAAAACGTGAAGCCGCCGGAGCGCCAAAAGATTCGGCGTGTGTCAGGAACGATCATGCACAAATGCAGTCGCGGGCTCGACTGACTTGTTTCTACGGTAACACTTTCATCGCATGCGTGCGCCGCCGAATGCCGAATGACCGCGAGACGGAGGCGACGATAACACACAACGCTGGCGTTGTTTCGGGCTATTCTATGTCAAACGCCTGGCGGTGGGCCAATTCAACGGGAAATACAGGCCCCGCACTACAGAACGGTTGTTTCTGGTATAAATGCGTACGTATGCATGCATAGGTGCTGCTAGTTGCGAGCACGACGGCTGCAGGGGACGGTGGAAGCACTCACTTATTCTCGGCTTCCACAACGGTGTGGTGTCGTTGTCTGCTCAGTAGTGATCGAATCTTGATAATATAGCGAAAGAAACGGAGCTAGGTAGACAACCCACAGCGCACTGTTGAAAGGGATTCACACTACGCGGCCTACATAAGACAGTTTTGATTTGAGGAAATCTCGTAGACGCCACGGATTTGGCCTTTGAGGCGCAGGAAACGCCGATCAAGCTCTATCTTGCTGAGTAGGGCGTTTGTAATCATGCCAGAAGAACGATGCGGTGCAGTGGTGAGTGCTCGCGCCGCGTGCATTGGGCTCAATCTCGTCAAGCTAGTTTGGAGCTTTTGGGTGTCATGATTACCCCGGGTGGAGGAGGTTTAATGAATTTCGTTTCTTCGACGACGTACACCGAACCGGTGGTAATAGCAAGCTTGTTCCCGCTAGGGAAACTCAAGGGTATAGCGTAGAACGTGCATCGCTCGTTCGCAATCAAGCCTCTCTGAAGTTTTTGGCTCCCATGTTGTTTGGGGACGAACCCCGGGGTTCGCGTTGTTAGCTGCTTCAACTTCATTCCTACAGTAGGATCAATCCAACGCGGACACCACACGCGCAACAGGGTCAAACTGCAAAACGGCGCACCACGAGATGAAAGGCCGCAAAACCACCGATACATGCGCATCACTTCAGAGCAACATGATCCCCCCGACATGGAAAGAACCTACTGCTGGAAGAGCAGCAACTTAATTACGTACATAGCAAGACTGTAGACAACGCTGACACAACAGGCTATTATATTTCTTGACCAAATGATCGAAGAGTCAACCTCCTCCGTGCTGACTCTGTCCGACAAGAGCACCTGCTTGCCGCTGCTAGTTGTGCACGAAACCGAAACTGGTGCAAAAAATTGGGCCAAACAATAATAAAATGTCGATAACGGCAGAGAGGATGAACGGGGCACGAGGCATCTCGCGTAGCCCCGCACGCCCCTTGGTTTGTTGCCATAGCTCACGAAACCTACCAACAACATCACGACGTTACCTCCCCCCTCCCTAAACTAATGTGATTATGATTTCTCGTCCTCAGGCGCTCTGGCTGACAAGCCTATCGCTCACACCGTTCAACCGCCCCCCTTATGATAGTTTCTACAGTAATCCTGGGGTGCGCTGGCGGACAAGCCCTTCACTCACCACACCGTTCGTGCTTTGCCCCTGCTCCTACTGGGGCACCCCCGTGTTGTGTGGGGCGGTCTCCAGGTTGTTGAAGGCAACACCAAAAGGGTCTATTGTCCAGGGTGTGAACCACCGAGCATTTCCGGGCACACCTGGCGCGTCGGCCATGTCGTATAGGGCGGCCTCGCCGAGGTCGTTGAAGGCAGCACCAAAAGGGTCAGTGAGCCAGGTAAACCACGGAGCATATTGGGGCCCAGCGGGCGCGGGAGATTGAGCGGCGGCCTCCTGCATGCCGTTACCGGCAGCACGGATGGGCCGAGCATTTTGGGGCCCACCGGGTGGATGGGCCGGCTCCCTTATGCCCGGTCCCTGTGCGTTCAGCCAGTTCGCTTCAGGTCCTTATGGCAGCCACATCGATCGACATCTTCTTCAGGAGACGCACCATCTGTCACGAATGCACGTTGGGGTTGTTTGGAGGCGGGCACTGCACGCGATGAAGTACAAGAAGATGCTGACGTGCCAACACAACACCATTGCATCCCATACTACAGTTAGCGGCCGCACGTAGAGGCACCCCTAGTTTTGGCCGTGCTTGGGGTTCTTAGTTTTTAGGGTTACGCTACGAATGGTCGTTATATATATATATATATGTTTTGGTGTATGATTTCTCAACCGAGCGCACAAATGATGTTCAAATTCATACATATTGAGCTTTTCGACGCTCTCGATTCGATATGTTACTGCCAAGTAATTCAGTGCGACCGTCAACTGCTATAGAATGGAGTTGCAAGCCGTCGGGTCGAAGTGTTGCAACTGCAACATGACGCTTTCGGGCTCACCAGGAACAGGATCAATGTCCAACCGAGCGTTGATATCCCCCACTCCCACGGGCTGGTGGATCTCACCTCCTCTCCAAGCTAGCCTGCTGGCAACATGCAGTAGCATCCGACAGAGGAAGACACTAATCTGGTATCCAAACTTACTTGTCAGTTTTTCAGACAAGTCGTCCGTCTATGACACTCTGCACATCACCCAGGTGGACAGAGTGCGGTGTTCCCAAAAGCAGACGCAGTCGAGTTCATGGCGCACTGTTTCGTGGCGTGGACTATTGTCGCCCAATGCTAAACTTGTCGGAGGTGGTCTAGAATGCGTCTCAGTGTGAGACAGGTGACGCCTGCGAATCCCAAAGGGCGCGCATAATTCGACAGGAGGGCTTGCGGCTCCGGCTAAAACGAGCCGAACGCGTGGGAGAGCAATGCCCCGCGCGGAGCCGACAACGTCGCGCGCGCATGATGAGTGGCGAACTCATCCTGACCATCGCCTTGTCACGAAATACTCCGCCTTTGAAACAGATGCCGTGCCGTGGATACAGCCTGACACATCTGAGTGGTGCCGTGTTGTCGACGATGGACGCAAGATGTCCATGGCAAAAGAACGGTCCACCACGTTTATCAACGGATCCTTTAGGGTGGTCTGTTGCTCTGCCAACAAATTTTCCTTCGTGCCGATTTGCGGAGAGACTCTTAGTTATCTCTTCCCCTGCCGTTAATTGCCTCTCTGTAAAGAGTTGCTCTTGTGGTATTCTCTCATCACACGGGGTCTACTTCCTCACGCCGACCAAACTAGGGGGGTCTCTGCCTGCCTTTCTTTATTTGATCTCTCGCGCATTTTGTGTTCCGTTGTTTTTTATCGAGTCTTAGGAGCCACATGATCTCAATATCTCGCGTTATGCGGAAACCGCTTGGGAATAGGATGGCTGGTACTTCCTGCGGATTCGCACTACGTTGTAGAGGAGGCAGGGGCCGCGAAAAACCAACCAACTCATGTCGGACTACTGCTGTAGACATCAAGCACAAGAAAATAATAGGGTGTTGGGTGTGATTAGGTTTGGTTTCGGGCAAGTTGGTTTTGGGTATTGCTTAGCTTCCAGTTTCGAGGACGCATTAGGAACAACGGAGATCGCGATGGTTCTTACCCCAGCTGGAACCCGTAGACACGGCCGGGATCATGATCGAACCCCCCGCCGCCGCCAACGGAACCATCACGCTCTGCAGGCAAGGAGAAAGAGAGGGGGCAAGGGCAAACGTTGAGCATGTTTCGACGAGAAAAAAAATGAATATCACAAGAACGAACTCGGGGACCGCACAAAACGGAGGGAACCCTCAGTATTCAGCATTGATTGAGTTTCAGCATCCGCAGAGTAGTGGCAACCACTTGCGAGTCGCAAGTTCTGAACCCCTGGCGCACCCGATTGGCAGCAGCTGAGGGCAAGCCCATCCATGTACAAAAGAAGTACAGTGAATGCCGATTTTCCCGAGTGCCGCAAGCAAGCGTCTTCTGCCGAAGAAAGTACTCGACCGACGACATGCTGAATTGGAGGTGCTGAACACCGCGTACGTAGTCTATTAGTGCTGAACTGCAATCACGCTTTCCGCGAAGCGACGCACGTAGGCCGCACCGGCAAAACCTCGCGTAACCACCAGCTGGAGGCGGTGGACAATAAATAGATACCAAATAGACGCAATATTCCTGTCCCACCTTTGGTTGCATGGGTTGACACTGACTGCTGAATCTCTTTCGAAGGTTGTTGTAGTGAGGACTACAAGACAGACCACACTTCTTTTATAAGCCCGTTTTTTCCCGGAACCCTAGAAAAAGAAACGTCACGTCCCAGCCCCCAAGGGTTATTCAAGAAACAAACGAGGCTGTGTAGAGGCACCTTCCCCAGATTTCCATCATTCAGAAAATTATCTACGAGCAGTATACCTACCGCCCAAACCGACGCAAGGTATCTACAATCTACCACGGCAGTACTATGCCTCTAGTCTAGTGATCGGAGAGAGAAAGAGGGAGAGAAATAAGAAACGGGTGCTGCTGGAGGACCGAGGCTGTGGTTTTGTATCGAGGTAAAACGAACTGCTTGCTGCGTTTGGTGGTGGTACTCCCTCGTACTTACGCGCAGTAGGTGGCGTCACAAGCAAGTATCTTTTGCGGCTTCATGGGCCAGCTGCGTGTGCGGACTGCAAACAGCATTGCATGCATCGGTAAGCTGTAGGTAGGTGTAGTCCTTGCGGTCTCTGGGTACTTGTTGTCCGCTTGAGCCGTGTGTCCGTGTGTCCTTGAAATGATCGCGGCCGCCCCCAGAGCAGTTAAGAGACCGACAGCTGTATCTCGCTGTTGATGTTCCATACCACCAGTTCCATACCCAGCGAGTAACGTACGGACCACATAGATAGGCACAGCAGGCATGCCTGCGAATTTGAAAGAGATGGGGAAACAAATCCGAACAGAATCAGCCGTCTTCATACAGCACACGATATTCTCTTCCTCGGCGTGGATCATGACACACACGCGGAGGAATGAACGGTATGGAAGTTGCAGCTGGCGTGTTGTCAGGAACGCCGCCGGCTCGACCGGCTTCATTCAACTTCGTTGTTGCGGGTATGGGAAGCGGCTTGTTGTTAGAATGCACAGCTAGTAGGTTGCGCGTGCGCTCGGTTTCTCCCTCTCTCTCGGTTTCCTCTGCTACAAGGCCTTCTCCCTGTCTCAATTCCTTCTCGCTGTGGCTACCACACGCGGGAGCTCATCGGCCGTTATTAAATACTAGGGTAAGGTGGCCGCCCGCCGTAGGCGGCGGAACGGCCACCCGGATATACGCACGAAGAAGGCCAATGAATGATTTGTGGATGTGAAGCGCGGGAAATAGAAAGGAGGATGCAGGTTATGTCTATTAAAGGAGGATGTGTCAATGATGATACATCCCGCGGCTTTGGTCACGACTGCAATTGAAACGCAGTGACATATGAGTGGCGATGAATGTGTAATCCTCATCAATTAATGAAAAGATCATTGGAAAGTATG